CCTGCTGACGCCAGACAGCATGCTCTGCAGCTGGGGGAGATGGCTGAGCAGCAGTTTGTGCAAATGATGCCACTACTGTTTCTTGGCTTGCTGTTTGGAAGATAATACATTATTCTGTCAGTGTAACATGGATTTTACTGTTCGTGTAGTTGATTATATATTATACCTGTCTTTTTCTCTCTAACTGGTAATTGTAGCAGATGTCAATAAGAGACAGATCATTTCTAGACTTGGAAAATTTGAAAATTATCTTTCTTTCCATTGACGAATGTGTTTCTTTACATAGCTGACTTTGGGTTTGCTCGTTATCTGCATAGCAACATGATGGCTGCAACTCTGTGTGGGTCTCCTATGTATATGGTAAGTGACAGTATGTTTCAGATTATGTTGCTTGTCTCAAACATTCTCCTACCGGAACAAAATAATTTGCTGCTCGCAGATTGGTAAATGCGTAATGTTGCTTCAGAAGTATTGGGGACAGCATGCAGTTCACCTTTCCATAGTTTTACTAGCTCCTTTTTTTTTTCTTGTGATTTGGAGATCGTGATTGTTAAAATCAGAGAGACATCGAACGTTTTCGTAGCTTTTTTTTTTTTCCTGAAATAGGCCATTATTTCTTTCCCAGTTTCTAAGGAAATAAAAAGTGATCAAATACAGACTAGAAGGGCTTTATACTAGTAGTTATAAAACTCCTTGATGTTTTCATTCTAGTTATTTTATGTATTCTCTTACATATGGGGTTTGTTTTGTTTGTTTGTTTGTTTTTAAAAAAATTGGAGTTAATTGCCATTCATTTTTACTAAGTAGCGTGGTACTCAGTTGAGCACTGAACTGGCTGACTTTGGCACTACTGCTACTGTACCGTATGGTCACAGGAAGATCATTTTGCTTTCCCTTGTCTTGTTTTTGTATATGTAAAATGGTGATAATGATATTCTTTATGAAATGCTTTGTTGTTTATCCACAAGGAGACCTGCATAAACCAAGTAACTAATGCTTACTACTTATTCCCATACATGCTGATCACTAGATACTTTCTTTAGAACATCAACATTTCTGGTTTTCTGTGTTTATTTTTTTAAATGTAACTTTCATTTTAGATAGAACTGTTACCTTTCAAGTCATGTGATGCAGATTAGAATGTTAATTTTGTCTTACAATAAAGTGGTGTCTGTTAGTACTGCTCTGACAGGAACTGTAGAATTTGTATTGCTGTGGCTTTGCTTTTTTCTTTTCCCTTCTGAGATTTTGCTGTTCTTTCCAGGCCCCTGAAGTGATTATGTCTCAACACTATGATGCTAAAGCAGACCTGTGGAGCATAGGAACTGTGATTTATCAGTGTCTTGTTGGAAAACCACCTTTTCAGGTGACGTTTTGTTTCCTTTTCCTTCTTTTTAGTCTCATGGCAATTCCTAGGACTTTTCCTTCCAGTCATGAAAACAGAAGTAAGTAGTGCTGTCTGAGTGTAGTGTCCATATATGCAAAGGGCAGATCACTTGAGGATGCCAAGGGAGAAGTTGCTCATACTTTCTCTATGAAGTCACTGTGTTCAATCCAGAGGAAATATATAAGGATACTCAGTACTGACCTCACTGCTGTGCTTGGGGTTTTCTCTTTTCATGCCCATATGCAAAAGCCTCCTTTTTGTGTATGTGTGCATAGGTACGAAAGCTGTTTTCACCATAAAACTGAGCTTTAATTAATGCACATTTTTATTTGACAGGCCAATAGTCCTCAAGATTTGAGAATGTTTTATGAAAAGAACAGGAATTTGATTCCTAGGTATGTCACTGTGGCCTTTCCTGTCACTTATATTTCTTGATATATGTTGATTCCTGTCACTTTTTCATCTTTGGGAATGCTTGGGATTCATAAAAATATTTGATGTTGTATCTTTACGAGGATGTAGTATGATACCAACAACTCATGTTGCACCTTGCTTTCATTGTACCCTGCTGAGTTGAAAGGGTATGGAACTAAGGCTATAGAGCATGTATGGTGAAGACTTAAGGACATGGCAGAGTGCTGACTTCTTGAAATTTACTGTGCTATGCATGACTTCATGCCTGCATGACGTTTAATGGATGTTTTACTTCCTCTTGTGTGCAGTATTCCTAGGGAAACATCAGCTTATCTGGCTGACCTGCTGTTGGGTTTGCTTCAGAGAAACCAAAAGGATAGAATGGACTTTGGTATGAAACTTTTCCTTTTGCTCTCTTGACTTCCCTTGTTAGTTGTATTCATGTGACCAGAATAACTGTCTTGACCTTTTGTCTACAGCAAATTACATGAAAAGTGAAGTATTTTTTTATTTCTTGGTTGTCATAAAGAAGGCAGAGTAGCCAAAATAAATCATTAGGTAACTACTGTCAGTCAGTATTCAGTGATGCTCATAAATTAGGACTTTTGTTGAGTAGTGAAATGTGAATTAGTTTAATTCTTTGAATTGTGGCCCTTCCCCCCCCCCCAGTGTTAACTCTCATACCTTACATTTCATGTCACAGTCTGATTTCTGTTACTTTAACTGGTGTTTTGGCTTCAGAGTGGGAGCAGACATCTCTGATTTCTGTGTGGTGTTGGTTGCAGAAATGTAACAAAGTACTGGAAGAACCCACTTGGAAGCAAAGTTGCTTTAAATGGTTTCCTCACTGTTCATTTCTCTTGTAGACTGCAAATACCGTAACAGCATTAATAACTGTGTACATTTGATTTGGCCTTGAAAGCTATATATATGTATATCTGAGGGCAATGAAAGATGTGATGTTATGTCAAAATTGTTTATATTTGCAAAGATTAGTTTCTAGTATTGTGCTTAGGTATTGCTAGCTGTAGAGACCTCTTTATTTCAGTGAAATATTTTCACTGGGGTTTTTTAAGCCCCAAAGTGGTAGGAACAACAGTTGTATCTTTGTATTTTGTTAAGTCCTAAAATTTTTAAACTGTGCAGTGACTGAAGTTTGCATACTGTTAGACATTACTGCAATGTCCATTTAGGATGGCATTTGGGAAGTTAAACTTAGTACAAACTAGATGGATATCCTCTTAACAAAAGTGAGCTTGTTTGGCTCCACTTTACCACTGTTTGGCTTTTTCTCTTTAGCTGGAGGTCTGTGGTTTCAGAACGTTATTCTAACTTAAGATTTCAAGGCTTCGGATCAGTATTACTGAATGATTCAAACTGGCTACAGCTATTGCTTCTTCAAAATTAGTCAGGAGTAGAGTTTTTAGATTTGTGTGTGCTTTGTACTGGCTGGATTGTTACTTCAGTCTCAAAAAGCCTTTTTATTGCTGCAGTTTTCATTACCTATCACTACAAAAGTAGTAATGCTTTTTTTTTTTTTTAATTCAAACTCAAGCAGCATTGTTAAAAGAAGACCACTGAAAAGTTAAATCTTGATTAGTACTTCTTAGCTGCATCTTGTAGGTTGTGTTATTCATGCTCGTTGTTTTAAATTTTATAGCACTATTTGTTACTGCACTTTTGTCATAGCTGCCAGGAAATGTTAATCTTAAACTTTTAGTTAATTAAAGCTAACTTAGGTAAATACAATTATCTTCATTATTATTATTTTATATCAATAGCAATGTGCTTTATTACTGAGATTTGTTTTAGCAACAAGATAGGTGACGCATCAGGTTTAATCTATGGAATGGCAAGAAAGAGCCTAAACCTTAAAGTCTCTTCATGCTCTTTGTAGATAAGACCTAGTTCTTTCCTCACCGTAAGCTGTTAGCTCTTGTGATGCTGAGATCCTAGGGTGAGTTGCAACCCAAAGTCAGACATGCTCAAGTTTTGTTTCTGCTTATGAAACTTCAGCATTGCTCTTTAGTTATGCATGGAAGCTGTACACAAATTGACTCATTCATCACATGTGGTCCTTGTGTATTTGTGATAAGAAGACTGTATTTGTTACGCTGCGGAGAGAGAAGTATTGAAAAGGTGTAGATGTGACTGACATAACAACTGCTGTATGTAAAAAAAAAACTTAAGCGGAAGTCAGATCCAGAAAAAACTCATGATAATTGGGTAAAAAATCCCAAATGATAGTGACAGTATTCAGAGGGCAATATATAAATCTGTACACGTAGAAGAATTAATACATCACAAACGTAGACTTTGAGTACTGGATTCCACTTTGCACTCTGGTTGTGCTCATGTCTACAGATTCTTCAACATGGGGAATTCACTGTATCATTTGTGGTAGTAGGAGAATGCATTTGTCCTTAGAAAGAAAAATAGAAAGCAGAATGGTAGTGATGAAAGTCATGTTTTCCTTGGCTGAGCCACTTAAAGGGCCTCAAAGGGGCTGCTCTGGAATGTGCTTAGCAAAGGGAGTGAAAGGGAGAGCATTCAACTGAGCCCAGTTGCCTGTTGTTAAAGTAAAAATAGCATTGGAAATCTTGTTGATCTTCCAGCAATATAAAGTAGAACAGCAGGTGTTGTACAAAAGCCCAAGAACACCTGATCCTCATGTTGAAGTTAATCATTACATTGTTCTTGGGTTACAGCTAGCCTCCCTTCCTTGTCGGGTCATGGAAGAAAGTGTTGTTGAAGGAAGAGGGGGTATTGCAGGCCTCAGATGCTTTCTTTCTGGGTTGTTTTTTTTCCTTGTTGTTTGCCTAGGTCTGATGAACAGCATTGTTTTTCCTCTACTATTATAACATCAAAGTTCACAAAGCTCAGCAGCTAGCTTCCACCAACCCTCAATTTCTCCTAATGAGCTGAAGGTTGCTTCTTGTAGAATAAAACTTTCCATGTAAGCTGCTAGCCTCAATTAAATACATCTCAGTGTACCCATTTACAACAGTAAAAAATCACTGAAGACATTGTTAAAGGAATTGTGTTTAATTCTGTTTTAATTGTGTTTAATTCTGAACCGGCTGCTCAGGTCGTGTTCTGCTGTTGGGAAGGAGAATGGCTGCTGCTCTGTTGCGATTTTCGGCCACCCAAGGAGTAGCATAATGGGTTCAAAAATAAGCGTCAGACTTTGGGAAAGGCAGAAGTGAAAATACTTCCAGTGTTTGATGTGAGATGCTCATAATTTTGAAGAGCAAACTGAGTTAGTACTGTATTGAACATAGAGAACGTAATTTCATGATGAGTGTATAGGAAGGCGTCTTGTGTACATGATCCTTAAATGCAGTCATAGTGTCCTCCAGTAATACAGTCTGATTTGCCTCGCTGGCTGTTGTTTGAAGTTATTCAATTGATTTTTGTTTCCTTTCCAAATACTATAGCAACATATAACATAGAAGGCTTGAATCTTTTATAAGCTCTTCACCCTTTGGCTCTCAAATATTGATTCTGGGAAGGCAACCACTTATCACTGTCTTGGGTTCAGCTAGGATAGGGTTAATTTTCACAAGAAGCTGAGAAGGGGCACAGCCAGGAAGCCAAACCGAACTAGCCAAGGGGATATTCAATACTGTATGATGTCACGCTGAGTATATAAGGGGGGAGCTGGCCGAAGGCAGTGGGCACGGCTCGGGAAGGCAGGCTGGGCGTCAGGTGCGTGGTGGGCAGTTGCGTTGCACATCACTCACTTTGTACATAATTTTATTAGTATTACTGTTATTACTGTTGTTTCTTCTCTCCTTGTGGTGGTCTATTAAACTGTCCCACGAGTTTTACTTTTTTCTTCTGATTCTCCTTCCCATCCCACTGCGGCGTGGGGAAGTGAGGGGGTGGCCGTGGCGTGTTTAGCTGCCGGCTGGGCCTAAACCACGACAACTGCCATCTGCAATATAGTCTGTCAGTTCTATGTCATTTGTACATTTACTCACAACGGTTGTTGTTTCTTGTTCTACAGAAGCATTTTTCAACCACCCTTTCCTGGATCAGATTTCAACAGTCAAAAAATGTAAGTAGTTTTGGTTTTCCACTTATTTGCGTAAATGATGAATGTTGGGGGTTGGAAGGGAGAAGCATCTGCCAAATATCACACTAAGTGTTTATGAGACATTTTCCTGAGTCTGACTTGCTGTTGTGCTCTATTGTGAGGCTAAGTGTTGAATCCTTTTTTGTATTATGCCAGACTGAAATGTGATACTCATTTACTAGTTCCTTTGACGTTTCAACTGAACTTAAATACCCTTGTGTGTTTAAGGATGTGCTGTGCTTATAAGTTGTATGAGGGTTTATGAATGAAAAGCAGTGAGGAAATTAGTTTGTTTGAAATTCAGTCTTTCAAAATCTTAGTCCCTTTTTTTCCCCCTTGGGTTTTCCTCTTGTAGCTTGTCCTGTACCAGTGCCCACATATGCAGGCTCAGTCTCTGGCAGTTCCTGTGGTAGCTCTCCTTCATGCCGTTTTGCTTCTCCTCCAGTAAGTTCTCTGTTTTACAGAACAATCTCTAGAAAATATTTTCTGTAATGTTTAGCCAAGAATTACTGGATTTCAGATCTTTCAGTTCTTGAACAGTGTAAACCGCCATGTTTAAGAGCACAGAGCAGGGAATGCCCCTGTGTTTTGCTGTTACCATTTTGGTTCTCTCAGACTCCTTGTGTTGTGCTTTGCGGGTTTTTGGTTGTTCTTTTTTGTTAAAGAAAATACATACACATATCAAATGCTAAAGTAGCAAATCTTTAGCTATGCTAATATGGTTTGCAACATAATGAATGTTACAGATAGTTTTTGAATTGGCCTTTTTGACTAAGGCCCCTTATACTGATACAACCTGGTGACTGCAATTTGATGTGGTATTTGGAAGACGTGCGTCTATATCATCAGGAATGATTCAATAAATTACAATTGTTTAAATTCACCACCTATTCAATATAGAACTGTCTAAATTGACATGACAGGGATATCCAGTATTTGAAATTTCCAAATTCAAATACGTTTTATCTTTCTAACTACTTAAACCTTGGCCGATTTTTGTTTCTTATCTTTTTTGTTGTTGTTGTTTTTTGGTTTTTTTTCTTTGCTAGTGATGATTCTTACTTTAGAAGCTTCATACTTAAAAGACCAATTCTACATTTTGAATCACTGGATTTACAGTGGGTTTTTTACTTTCTTTTTTCTACCCTGCCCCCCCACTCCCCCAGTCTCTGCCAGATATGCAGCACATTCAAGAAGAAAACTTGTCTTCCCCTCCGTTGGGTCCTCCTAACTATCTTCAAGTCTCTAAAGACTCTGCCAGTACCAGTAGCAAGAACTCCTCTTGTGACACAGATGATTTTGTTCTTGTCCCACACAATATTTCTTCAGACCACTCGTGTAAGAACCTTCCTTACTTTTACATTTTAGAAAATTTCCACTCATAACGTACCTTTATGTCCTGTTAGTCTTTGACTTTTCTCTAAATGTGTCTCAATTCACATTGTAACTCGATTCTTTAGTTTGATTACTCTTTGAAGGGAGACTCTGGTATACCTGCATGTCCATTTGGGACATTTTCACCCTCAATTGAGCAGCCAGATATGCCAAAGATACCAAGGTGATTTAAAGTCATGGAAAATACTGGGGTTTGGCAGCAGAAGGAAAGAGTCAGTTGTAAACAGCTGCTGGTAAGAAGCCCAAGGACTCTCTTAGTGGAGGCAGGCACATAGTTACCTCCAGACTAACTGAACAATTACAGTCCATGCTGTAGAGCTTTAGATCAGGAACAAGTGTGGGTAAAAAAAAAAAAAACACAAAAAAGATTTAGTATGAAAAGTAAGGCATCAGACTGGGCTTATACAATAGAAAGACTTGGATGTAGCACATTGCTGTTTTACAATATTGTCCAAACCTGGATCGCCACTAAGGAGCTAGTCAGCTGATTTCTATACAGTGCCATGAAATCGTGTTAGCTATTTGACTAAATTAGTGCCTTGATCTCTGAAGGGTTTCTGTCATTTGTGGTTACAAATTTCCTAGTGCTGGTACCTTCTATTCTTAAAGTATGGGTTTTATTTCAAAATTACTGTAATTAGTATAGCAAGAAAAACCGCAATGAAAACCGAAACAAAACAAAAAACCTTGTTAAAGAACTGTCTTCCGCAGTTACATTTTTCTTGGTGGTCCCATTTGAGGTATTTTCATACGAAAAACAGTTTGTGGAAAACTTTTATATGTTCAAGGAAGTTTGTCAGAAGTGCTTATTTCTACAACAGTAATATTGGAGATTTTTTTTTTTTAAGATTCTGCTCCATGACGTGGGTTTTCAATGTGTTCTTCTGCTTACTGTAGATGATATGCCATTGGGAGCAGCTGGCAGGCGGGCTTCGAGCGAGTTCTTGATGTGTGGAGGGTAGGTGTGCTGAGCTTTATCCAAAAGTAGTCTCATGTTCTAAAATTGATACTGCAGCTGTAGAAGGGGTTGCTGGGTTTTTGGCAGTGACGGGTTTACATAGCTCTGTGGACTTTCTTAAAGATTAATATGCCAATTTGAATTTAATAGGAATATGTAAACAGCTTGAATTCAGAAAGTTTTGTTGCAAAGTAGGTAGTTTCGCTAATGTGAAGACCTGGCTTTTGACAGTGCTTTTTATTTTCACAGGCAGTCACCATTAACTATTTCTGGAAGCTCAGGAACTGTACAGAAACCATCCTCAGCCTCTTCTCGAAGTACTGCTTCTGGTACAGCTAACAGGTGTGTGATGTAGGCTTAGTGTTTCCTCCCTTTTTAAAAGGTTGTCTTCTACTGTATGTTTGGGGTTTTTTGAATTGTGGGTGGCTACTGGAAAGTGAGTACTGAAATAGAAGCTAGACCTGTTTTTTCCAGGCTCTCTACACTTAATGCATTCTAATGGCTGACGGTTGCATAGCTAACTTCTGGCTCTGATGCATCCTCAAAAGATTTCCTTAAGGAAAAAGGACATTCTTTTGTCTGCTTGAATTTTGAACTGGTTGAAAGTAGAAGCTTCAGAGACATAACTGACTTGTCCTTTTTGCTGTTATGAAGCACAGCCCAGTCTTCATTTAGTGAGTCAAGATGTGAATATACATTTTCAGGAGTAGTTGTGAGAGAAGAGGAACTTAGAAAGCCCAGATTGCTACGGAGTTGTCTCGTGGCTGGATTGTCTTGTGTCTGGTAACTGGGTGTGGCTTCTGTGCAAGCAATTCCTGTGAATTTTGTGCTTGTTTCTCACAAGATACCAAAGAAGCCACATGAAAGAGCTAAACATGTATTGCAGCTTTTCCATCAGCAGGACTGTTAGTAAGTCCTCTTTCTTCCACGTGGTTGTAGACTAAGTTTCTGCTAGTTTGAAATAGAACTGATATTCATCAGTGGTGCCTGCAATCTTTCCTGTATTACATTGGAAAATGTAAAGCTTAATCATGCTGTTTAACTACTCCTGTACTATCTAAACAGAAGGGTTAGATTTGTCATTTGACCAAGTAATGAGTTTCATAATGTTTTCAGTACAAACAGAAAGAGGATGAGTGGCTAAGTGGGGAATCAAGCTATTATGTTGGGTGTATTTTTGGCTTGTGCTAATACTACAGGGCTGCAAGTCAGCATTATTTGTTTAGAAATGCTTGTCACAAGAAAAGTTTGCTACTTTCTGCTGATCTTTGTGCAGTTTCTGAAATCTGCTGACATGGGCTATCAATACAGCTTTAGTCTTACCTTTTATGTTTAAGGGCAGATAATGGGAATAGTTTGTCTGTAGAGATCCATTTGCTCTGGATTGGCCATATACGACGTATTATAAATATGTTGTAACTTCCTATTTTAAATTGTGTCAGGCATCACAGTTCCTAGAGTTACAGGTTTTATGAAAATATGCCAGTTATGTTACCTGTACATTATTAAGTTAAGAGCTAAGTGGTCATGTGATTAGAAACAGGGGCCTACTGTTCACACTTTCAGTGTTTGTACTATAATAGTTTGATTTAATTATTGATTGAGTAAATTTGGTAACTAACTGGCTGCTTGGGGCGTGGTCTGAAGGAAGCAGAGTGCATGTCTGATATTCTGCAAGATGCTGCTTTTGGTTTTGGGTTTTGGTTTTTTGGTTTTTGGTTTTTGTTTTTTTTTCCTGAGAAATGTTCTTTGATAGTGTGTGATTTTTTTTTTTTTTTTGGTTGTTTGTTGTGGTTTTTTTTTTTTACAAAAGGTCATGATGCATGAAACAGTGAATTTTTCTGATTAGCTGATCAAACTGAATGAATTGTAGCCATAGTTACACTGCTTTATGTCAAGTAGAAGAAGCTGTAACACTTCTCAGGCTCCGGGCAGAATGGGCAGAATAGGTAGAGGCGGTTCACTCTCCTGTGATTAATTACTAATTTTATTCCGTGGATCTCAGAGAAACAAAATTTGCATGCAACTCTGCCCACATCTGTGTTGCATTTTCTCTGACCAGTAACAAACCACATCAGACTTGAGGATACCTAACCAGAGCTTGGCTTTGGGCCTGAGCTGGGGAGCCCTGATGGAAGGCCAAGTACCGTACCATGCCTCTCCACCACGCTGCCACAGCATTGCTGCCTCCAGTTAGCTCACAGCTCACAGACCTTGCTTGGATATACCTACAAGGCTGTGTGAGAGCAGGGGAAGGCATTTTCCATGCCAAGTACTTTTAAAAGGCCACTTCGTTGCCAGAGTTTAAATAACATCTGCTTTTGCTATCCCTGAGGTCGGGCCTAGGGAGCCTCCCTTTGCTACCTCAGCATGTTGTGTTAGTCATAGCAGGGTGCCTGTTGCCTTTGTGTGGTTTCCACTTGTGAGACCTTGTCCTTGTCTGGAAGCTTTCGGGCCTTCTGCTGACTGTGTGCTCACAGCTGAGTTCCAAATTACTCTGTAGTATCTAGAAACTGGGTGGCAATAAAAGGACAAACTTCTTTCCTTTTGCTAAGGAAGTTCTGTGCACATTAGGGAGTAGTGTTTCATTCTCAGAGGCAGCAAAGAGAACAGGACAACTACAATCAGAAATCCAGATTGCTTTTCAGCTGTAGCCGTGCAGTGAGTGTTTTCTAAAGCTCGTGGTAGAACATTTTTCACATTTCCTCTAAGAATTTCTAATCTTTCTCTGAAGAGGTGGTCAATAAAGGACCCAATACTAAACTGATTATCTTCCCAAAAGCCCATTAGTTTGAAATTCTTTCCATGGAATTCTGTCTTCCTTTAAAAGTGTTGGTAACTGATTATGTTGCAGTGGTTTGATTCCCTTATCAGATAGTACGTTGAGGTAAGCCAGGTCACTGACACTTCAGTTGAACTTGGGTAATGCTAATCTGCAGTTTGAGTCTGTGGATTAATGTTCAGGTGTGTGGTTTTGGTCATTTTGTCAAGGGTTACATAACATGTTTTCCTTTTGAAAGTTCACGGTGTCTCTTGGGATATCTCTGACTGTGCTTTAGTGGCTTTTGTACACATTCCAGCCCTGCTGCTGAACTTCCTGTTCTGAGCACAGTGGGTTTTCCTAGAACGCTATTTTGAAGCAGGGTAAACAGAGCGGGCTGATTGGCAGGAAGTCGCAGGGATCGCTGTGAAGCGTGACTAAGTGCTTGGGCTAGTACTGCACTCTCAGCTCGACCTGATACTAGCCAGTATAAGAAAGGTAGTTAGGAACGAGCAGTTCCTGATCTTCCTCTGTGAAGTGTTAGAGCTGGATTAGGACGAGCTAGGTCATATTGCACGCGAGGAGCGCAGAAGCAGCTTATTTGCCTGTTTTCCTAGATTTTCTTGACATTTCAACAATGGTACAATTCAGAGGGAAACCTGTCTGCCTGTATTCATCTCCTGTCTCCATACCTTCCAACTTCAGGCATTGTCAGCCTTCGGTATCCCCCCGCAGCGAAACAGCACCTATCCCGGTCCCCACTCAGCTACGGAATTACCAGCGCATAGAACAGAACCTCTCCTCTACTGCCAGCCCCGTGTCAAACCCCCACGGATCACCAAGGTGAGGTTTTTTTGTGGGTTATTTTGGCTTTTTTAACCTCCTTTTTCTTGGTTCTAGTTTCTGTTTGTACCCTGACAGATGCCCATGCTTTCTTGCTGATGTCATTTTATTTTCTGCACAAAAACATACTAAAGAGGCATTTTGATGATAATAAGTAATAGTCCTTCACAATCTCAAGATTGTTGGATGGGCACTTGAAATTTTTCACAAAAACAAAATGAGCTTGTTATTTCACTCAAATGCAACCCAAGAAGGTAAAAAGATGAAGTCTTGCTTTTTTTATTCCTCTTTGTGTATTATATGGCATTACATCATAAACTAGAAAGTCAGTAATAAGTTATGGTTTTGTTTTCACACATGTAGTGATGAGATGAATGCTTTGTTCTGTAGAATATCAAGGAAACAATTTCTGGCATGCTAGTTAACCAGCTTGTCTTATTACAAAGCTTTGGCGTGCCAGGCTTATTCTCGGCCTTGTGGTCTACAGGATCAGGATGGTGAAGGTCAAAGACTCAGACTACTCAGAACTCTGGAGATCTTGACAAAAACAAAACTCATGGCTCCTTGCATATCTTTTTTTCAGGATCTCTGATTTTATAATAGTTGCTACGCTTACGGGAAGTGCCTTTCCCTTAAATGGTCTGTTTTCAGTTATCTGACCTGTATACCAGACCCAATCTGAAAACTTTGTCATAATCTTTGTTGACATAAAAGTGGGCATTTGCAGCAATACATTTCACTTGATTGTAAAATTCAAAATTTGATCAAGCTGTTTGAAGATTAGGAATCCATGTACTAAAGGATATCTGTTTTAATTTTCTCCAGTAAACAGACTATTCTGGCATTGTAAGTTAAAAGTCAATGTGAACAAAGGGAATTAAATCTTGCTTGTTTTCAGTATGGGAAGCTTAGCTTAAGTTACTAGCTTAATAAGCTTCAGCATCATAGCTTTCTTTTTTAAATAGCAGTATTGTCTCTAACTGATCATTATACTCCTTAGGGAATTCTGAAGCTTATCTCGAGGAACCACAGTCACTATAGTGCATGTAACCATTCTTTTCACCCTGTTAGAGCTGGAGTTGTGAGACGCTCAAATACTAGCCCAATGGGCTTCATGAAGATGGGCTCCTGTTCTCCAGTACCAGCTGACACTGCACAGGGTGTTGGGCGCAGGTTATCCACAGGATCTTCTAGACCGTATTCTCCTTCACCTCTAGGTAAGCCCATACATGCTTAGCAATTAGTAAAGGTTTATCTGGAACAGTAATTCAGAACACCTGTTCCTGCTTGAAATTATCTTAAACCAAAATCTGCCCAACTAGGTCACGTTTGCAGAAATAATTTCTGTTAAATGACTCCCAGAAGTAAACTAACTAGGTTTTGTTTTCTTTACCTTCATCTGTAGGTGAAGTATAAAGTGTAAATTCACATTTTGGTTTTATTTGCATAGTTGGAACTATACCTGAGCAGCTTGGACACTGTTGTTGTGGACAACTTCAAGGACATGAGTCAAGGAGTAGAAACTTCTCAGGTGAGTGACTTGGGACAATGCAACCGGTGCTATTTTGATAGAGCTTCTGCAGCATTTTGTGAAGGGGGAGGAGAGCCAACACTACACTAGTAGGAGACACTGGGTAAGTGGTGCACTGAGTTTACGTATAAACTTAGCCTGGTCGTGGCTGTA